GTCTGTCAAGTCAATTGAATGGGCTAAATTGGAATTGGGCCTAGGTTGATAAAAACCGAAATTTGATAGTTTGAGCCTTATTCCTATTGGGCCCAAGAACTTGCCCGAATTGACCTAGCCCGGACCATCAGGGTCCAGGTCGGACTAATGAATCAAACCGAGTTCTTAGACCCGGTTTGAAATCCATTTCCCAATAAAAAAATAAAAATAAAAATATTAAAAAAAATCAGAAAATTCAAAAAAAATAAAAAATGTGTGAGAAAAGCTAAAAAAAATTGGAATTCACTTAGTTTAGGGCTTTTAATAAACACTTTAGGTTTGAATAAAATTTGTACCCAAAATTGCATAAGCCTTTAGGGCTTTACCTTAGGGATTTTTTTTTTTTTTTTAGAGACGATGCTAGGTTGCCATTTGTGCACTTTCATTTTGATTTCATTTGATTGCGTACTTTAAATTCATTGATTGTTATTTTCCCCTTTTAGAATGGTTAAGATGAAAATTCAAAATTCTCGATTAGTAAAGACTGCCATGATATTTTGGTTAGCAAATAGTCGAGTTTAGGTACCGAAAGGGCAGTAGTTGAAAAACTAGTGTAATCAAGTCCCCGATCCCTAAGAATCTCTGGTTGCATATGTTTTCGAGATAACACTCCCGTATCTCGATTAGGGTTTCTAGCCGACCTTTAATCGTGGCTAGTGGCGACTCCTATTGAACAAATAGATTTAAACAACCAATGTCACGCGAGGTATGGACTTAGGGAGAGTCCAATAAAGTACCTCTAAACCTACTTCCTTGAGGGGGCCCTCGAAAATTAATTAATTAAATAAAATAAATAGTAATAATAAAATAATAGATAACTTATCGTCAAAATAGCGATAACTTATCGCGAACACAATAATAGCCTATCACATAAATAATCATAGCTTATCGAACCATTACCAATAGCCTATCACCGATAACCTATCGTCAATTTCACCAATAACCTATCACCGATTTCCAATGATAACTTATCAATCCAACAATAACCTATCATCCATGGTTATCAAATAATTTGTCGATAACTTATCCACTAATTCTATTTAAACAATCATTAACTTAATCTAAACCTAAATTAAACTACTCTGAGCAAGTTTAACACCCTAAACACGGGATTAAAAGTTAACTTACACGTCTAACTACGACGATTATGCAAGAACGACGGTAACGACGCGGTTGTCCGCAGTGGTTTCTAGTTTGGGCTCGACAGACGGCGGACGGCTACGAACGAGCGCGTCGAAGGGAACGGCTGTTGTAGGGCTGTTCAGGGGCTGCTCGAGGCTGTTCCCGGCGTGAAATGGCGGCTGGGGGTGTCGACTAGGCGGCTGGATAGCGGCGGACCAGCAGCTATAGCGGCGGGGACGGACGACGGGCAACGAAGCAGGCGTTCCAATAAAAAACCAGCCAGCTGTGGGCGGGGACAAAATGGTGGCTAGTGGTGTGTCATGGTAGCTGGGACGGCGGTGGACGAGCAGCTTAACCGGCGGGTGCAACCGGCAAGCGACGAAGCTGAAAACTCATGTGACATCCCCGGATTTGGGCCTAGGAGCCAAGGGCTCGTGATCGATGAATGAGCGGGTAATTTGAGCTGAGGGTCGGTAATGGAACAGACAATATGATCGGAGCGAATGTACTGAGGGTTGGTCATGGTTCGATCGAAAGATTGTCCATGAATTGGCCTAGGGATCGATAGTGGCATGACTCCTTGATTACGCAAAATGATTAGGGTAATATGACCGTGGAGTGACCCTTTAACAATAAGGGCTGTTAGTGGAACGGTCATGGATAACTGTGGATCAGTCCAGTAACGGCATGTGTCGATCGCGGGTGATACCGCACGGCCATGCATTGGTCCCGGATGACCATGAGTTAATTCCGGGGTACTGAATTCCACGAGGCTACATGACAACCGAGGGTCGACCATGGGTCGTTGACACTCGAACGTGGACCGGTCGCGAATCGGCCACGAATCATTGTGCCATACATGAGCCATTGTGCGTGTTTGGCCGCGGACCGATCCCTTGCTCATGTGACCAGGCGTGGTGCTCGTGTGGCCGGCATGGTGCTCGGCACCTTGCACGTGCAGTCGGCATGGTGCTCAGCACGTTGTCCGTGCAACCCGGGGCAACGCCCGTGCGGCCCGGCCATGTACCCGGCTCTATGCCCATGTGGCCCAGTCGCGTGCCCGTATGGCCCGGTAGTGTGCCAGGCCTAGCGCCCAGTCAGACCCGACCATGCGCCCAGCAACCCGATTTGCTTAGGCTTATTCCATTTTGCTTAGGCCTTGATTTGGTTGTGTTAGATGATTTTTGAGGATGTTCTCGCACCAAACCTCAGGTTAAACGGGTCTACTAAGCATGGTCAACCCTCGAAAATTTGGAGAATAGTATGATGCGGGGTTACGATTATAGTGTCGTATAGCCAGTTTCGTATAAACCGATTGGCCCGAGAAGTTTTTGTGTGGAACCAGCAAGCTTGAGAGGCTCCCACGGTTCGGACTTGCTGAGGAAAAGAAGACAAAAAGGGTTGACTTGGTCAAAAGCTTCATTTAAGGCTATTTAATGCCATTTAAGGCCTTCATAATTGGACCCCCTTAGGTATCCCCTCAATAATTTCTGACCAAGCTGAGCCGGTGCCATGCATTAAAGGCCAATTGATGACTCAATGACTACCAATTATGGGGCACAAAGTAAGGATATTCGGCCAAGCCAAGGAGGAAACCAAGAGAGGCATTCGGCCAAGAGAGAAAGAGAGAGAGAAGCCAAGAGATGAGATCAAATTTAATGCCCTTAATTGCTATACATCATGACTTTTGGCTCTTGTGCATTAATGCACATTAATGCTTGGCTTCTTTTCCAAGCTTGTTGTCTTTAAAAAGCAAGAAGAAGCTCACGTGAGAAGCTCCCCCCCTCCCCACAAAACCAGCCATCATCTTCTCTTTTGCCTTCTTGCCTTCCTCCTCCACGCCCAAAGAAGCACAAGCCAACCTTGTTCTACCTCTTTGCTTGTTCGGCCAACTAGAAAAGCACAACCGAGACTTGCCCGAGGCCCCGTTTTTCCCAAAATCACGCTTGTTCCGTGCTCAAGCCAAGCCACCAGCCACTTTCTTCTTCTAGTCTCTTGTGTTCTAGTGGTTGTTGAGTAAGTGAATTCCCTAATATCGGGAAAGGAAGTTGCAATACGTTGTAACATAGGTTGCTTGACCCGTTTCTTGATTTCGTGGTCGATTATAGTTTGTTCTTTCTTGACAAGTGATGCCCACGTGTGACGCTCATGTTTGATGTTTCTTTTGTTGTTTCATAGCACGAACTTTGCTATTGATTTACCATCAATGCCGGTACGGTAAGAGTCGACTTATGTGAATGGCGATTGTCTCGTCCTCGCTTGATGTTAGTGTTTTCACTTATTGAGTCTCCCCGACTCACTCCCGTTGTTTTCCTCTTTTCGGGTCCGTAGCATGGCGTCTCCCTCAATACGGTTCGGAAATCCTATCGAGATGAAAGCGGAGCTGCTCACAGTCATTGATGCCCGTGAAGGCCGAGCCTATCGTAGAATCACCATGTACGTGATGGTGGATGAGGGCCGAGAGGAGTTGGTCCCTCACGCGCACATGGCTTGGTACCATTTGGCCAACGGAGAATGGGTTGGACCCCTACGCGGGTTCAATAGTCCATTCACTGGCATGGACGGGCCAGCTCCGGGGCAAGCCGGGGGTGGGGCGTTAGATGGCCAGGCGGACGAGGAGCGAGAGGAGCGAGAAGAACGAGAAGCCATAGTGAAGCTAGGAACTCAAGCCAAAGTTTTGTTGTTCGATATTTGGCTTCTGCGGCATCGCCGTTTGAAATGGGCATGTAAAATATAAGTGTGGCTTGTAAGGGCCCGAGAGAAGGGCTTGATGAAATAAGCACGTATCATGTAAATATAACGTGCGTTGTTTGCTTTTCTCACTCCTGTTGTCTCGTTTATTTTTAATTGCTTCCGTGTGCGCATTTGATTGAGTAAAAATGAATGGGACGCACTAACACATTTTCGCAAGTCACGGTTCCATTCAGGTCATGTTCGGTCATAAGCATCGATCATGATTCTGGGTCGGGACGTGACAGTGGGGTATCTTGTTGTGGTATTAGAGCAGGTTTTCCCTCCAATAGGTGCAGTTCGCGGCGACTTGCAATTGGACGATCTGACGAGGGTAGAGAGTGGCGCCGAGGCCATACGACTTGAACATTGTGTGGCCTCTTAGGAGGTGGCGCTGGGGTCATGAATGCCTGATCTTTGTGCGGCCTCTACGGAGGTGGCGCCGGGGTAATAATGCATGAACATTGTGCGGCCTCTACGGAGGTGGCGCCGAGGCAATAATATCTGATCATTGAGCGGCTTCTGACCGATGTGGCGCCGAGGCAAAAAGCCTAATCATTGTGCGGCCTCTGGGTAGAAGTGGCACCGGGGTATATATACCACCTGATCATTGAGCAGCTTCTGAAAAGAAGCGGCGCCGAGGTGAAGGGCCTGATCTTTGAGCGGCTCCTGGCAGGCTTGTAGGACGGCTAAAGAACGAGAATAACCGAACTGTGCACCGAATTGTGGAAACGGTTCTGAAAGCCAAGCGAAAATAAAGACCTGGAGTGATAAGGTGCGCTGAAGTTGGGGTAGTTAGCCAGGAAACGCCCCGCGCATGCGATTATGTGTGTCTGTGTACTTGGTTGGTAAGTAGGCCTTTGGTTGTTAAGCTTTTGATCACTGACATATTCTTGTGTTGTAGAAAGCCTTAGTAGAATACCAACGGCAGTATGAGTGCTCAGGACCTGACCACGACCTTGAAAGGAAAGTCGAAGCAAGATCCCTAAATAGACGGAATTCTGCAAGCTCATGCGACTGTAGGAGATTTGCTGGGACAACAAGTTCAGCAATGGCTGCCTAATGCTGAGAATGCAGCGGCAATCGAAAATGGGAATGGTGACCGTACGATGCACGGATTGGTCGAGCAATTCCTGAAGCTGCGACCCCCGAAATTTGCTGGAATGGGAGATCCCGAAGAGGCGGAATCCTGGATAGATGAGTTACATAAAGCCTTTGAACTTCTAAGATGTTCTGAGAAAGAGAAAGTGACCTTGGCGACATACCAGTTGCAGGGTAATGCCAATCATTGGTGGAAGGTGACGAAAGAAATCGTGTTCCCAGGAAATATGGCTGTCAACTAGAATGCCTTCGTTGAAGCATTTAATGGAAAGTATTTTTCTGAGTGTGCTCGTGATCGAAAGGTAAAAGAATTTTTGCAACTCCAGCAGACCAACTTAACGGTGGACCAGTATGAGGTAAAATTTGCCCAATTGTCAAGGTACGCCCCTAGACTTATTGAAAATCCAGTCGACAGGGCAAAGCGATTTCGTGATGGTCTCAAGCTTAACATCCGGAGTCAGCTGGTAGCTTTAAACCTGAAAGATTATAATGAGTTATATGAATGAGCTCAACTGATCGAGAAGGATTTGCTGGAGACGGCGACTCTGGCAAAGCCCCCTTATTTTGCTCCTCGGGTAAATCAACGCTCGGGCAAGAGATCTTTCATGAAAGGAAAGTATCCTTTCGTCCCCAACAAAAAGCAAAGTTTCCCAAAGGTGACTATTGTTTCTGGTGACACCTGTTCTATTTGCGGAAGACAACATGGAAATACTCCGTGCCCAATGCGCACGGGCGCATGCTTCGGGTGTGGCCAACAAGGTCACATGGTTAGGGACTGTCCGCAACGGCGACAAGGAATGCCTTCACAACAAAGGCAGACGACGGCATCAACTGGAGTTTAGCCTCGTGTTAACAATGGCGACCGTCCTCCGGCACAAGGACGAATATATGCACTTACTCAAGAGGATGCGAAGAACTCCGATGCAGTGATTACAGGTACGATTTTCCTCAATAATCATGCTGCATATGCGTTAATTGATACTGGAGCTACACATTCATTCGTATCTAGGCAATTTGTACGTCTGGCCAAAATTAAGATGAAACCGTTAGAAAATGCACTTAGTGTTTCTACTCTTATGAAAGACAAAGTGCAGACTACCCTAGGATGCCAAGGGTGTCAGATTATTATAGGTGGAATGGCGGATATTATACATCTAGTGGTACTGGCCATGTATGATTTTGATGTTATCATAGGCATGGACTGGCTTAGTAAACAGCGAGCCAAGATAGACTGTTCTAGCAAGGTGATTCAGTTTCATCCACCTTATCGTCCCTGCTATATATTTGTGGGAAATGGAGGAGGACCTTCTACTCCTCTGATTTCTGCTTTAGAAGCAACCCGACTATTGCAGAAAGGTTGTCAAGGATTTCTAGCAACAATAGAAAATACATCAAAGGAAGACGAACCAAAGTTGGAGGATATCCTAGTGGTACAAGAATTCCTAGATGTTTTTTCAAAGGAATTACCAGGTCTACCTCCGGAACGGGAAGTAGAATTTTCTATTGAAGTAGTCCCTGGAACTGAGCCTATTTCTAAAGCTCCCTACCGGATGGCTTTGACTGAGTTGAAGGAATTAAAAGTGCAACTACAAGAGTTACTGGACAAAGGCTTCATCCGTCCGAGTGCATCTCCTTGGGGTGCACCCATATTGTTCGTGAAGAAGAAAGACGGATCGTTGCGACTCTATATCGATTATCGGCAGTTAAATAGGGTTACTATAAAAAAGAAGTACCCACTGCCGAGAATCGATGACTTATTTGGTCAACTCCAAGGAGCATCCGTGTTTTCCAAGATCGATTTAAGGTCGGGATATCATCAGCTGAGGATAAAGAAAGAAGATATTCCAAAGATGGCGTTCCGAACCCGCTATGGCCATTATGAATTTACCGTTATGCCATTCGACTTGACGAATGCTCCAGCTGCTTTTATAGACCTGATGAACCGAGTGTTCAAGCCATACTTGGATCGTTTCGTCATAGTTTTCATTGACGACATCCTGGTATACTCGAGGACTTCGGCAGAACATGAACAACATCTAAGATTCGTACTTTAGACGCTCAGGGAACACGCACTTTATGCAAAATTCAGCAAGTGCAAGTTTTGGCTATCTCGCATGGTGTTTCTAGGCCACGTGATCTCGAGAGACGGCATATCCGTGGATCCATCCAAAATAGAAGCGGTAATTAATTGACCAAGACCAAAGACCGTGATAGAAGTTCGAAGTTTCTTAGGTTTGGCAGGATACTATAGAAGGTTCGTGGAACGATTCTCTAGCATCGCTGTTCCCTTAACGCGATTGCTAAAGAAAAAAACGAAGTTCGAATGGACTAACAAGTGTGAGCGAAGTTTCCAAGAATTGAATCAAAGGCTGACGACTGCTCCTATTCTGACTATACCTAAAGGACCAGGAGGATTTGAAATATACAGCGACGCCTCTCACAAAGGGCTAGGTTGTGTACTAATGCAAGATGGCAAAGTGGTGGCTCATGCCTCGAGACAATTGAGGCCATACAAATTGAATTATCCAACCCATGATTTGGAGCTTGCTACGATTGTGTTCGCCTTGAAAATTTGGCGGCACTACTTATATGGGGAGCAATTTGTTATTTATACGGATCATCAAAGTTTGAAATATTTATTCACCCAGAAGGAGCTGAATATGAGGCAACGACGTTGGATGGAACTTCTCAAGGACTACAACTGTGAGATATTGTACCATCCTGGCAAAGCAAACAAAGTTGCCGATGCTCTTAGTCGAAAATCTGCAATCGCACATCTGATGGTCAAGGAATGGACCCTACTCGAGGAAGTGTAGGACTTGGACTTCAAACTTGAAGTTGGACATCATCAGAACTTATTGGCTGCTCTCAGAATCGAGCTGGACATCATATTGAAAGTCAAGGCATTACAATAAATAGACCAGGAGATTCAAAAAGTTCGAAAAGAGTTAGCAGAAAAGAAGAACTCCATTTTTCATATGACTAATGACGAAATCTTGAAGTTTAATGGACACCTATGCATGCCGAAGGATGACCAACTGAAAGAAGAAATCTTGACGGAAGCTCACAAGAGCAATTACAGTATTCATCCAGGCAGTACCAAAATGTACCAGAATTTGCGACAACATTTCTGATGGACTGGCATGAAGACGAACATAGCCAACATGTGGCTAAATGCTTGACGTGTCAGCAAATTAAGGCTCAACATTGCAAGCCTGGAGGATTATTGCAACCGTTGAAAATTCCAGAATGGAAGTGGGAACATATCACGATAGATTTCGTAATGGGATTGCCAAGAAGTCAAAGAGGACATGATTCAATATGGGTTATTGTTGATCGCTTGACAAAATCAGCCCATTTTCTTCCAGTAAAAAAGGACCTTCCATTAGAAGGTTATGCTGAGTTATACATTCGACATATTGTGCGACTACACGGAGTCCCAGTAACAATTACATCCGATCGAGATCCGAAGTTTACAGCAACTTTCTGGCGGAGTCTCCAAACCGCTATGGGAACGAAGTTGCAATACAGTACAGCTTATCATCCGCAGACGGATGGTCAAACAGAAAAAACTATCCAAACGCTTGAGGATATGTTGCGAGCATGCGTCGTTGATTTTAAAGGAAGTTGGGATGACCATTTGCATCTCATAGAATTTGCATACAACAACAGTTACCAGCAAATCATCGGAATGGCACCATTCGAGGCATTATACGGTCGAGCTTGCAGAACTCCAGTCTCTTGGGATGAGGTCGAGGAAAAGAAGGTCACGGGTCAGAGCTAGTCCAACTCGCCAACGAGGTTGTGCAAGTGATTAGAAATAAGTTGAGAATCGCCCAAAGCCGACAGAAGGGTTATGCTGACAGATGGAGGAAGCTTCTAGAGTTTCAAGTAGGCAACCACGTGTTTCTTAAAGTGTCACCCATGAAGGGTGTGTCGCGTTTTCGGAAGAAAGGCAAACTCAGCCCCAGGTACATAGGACCGTTTGAAATTTTAGAAAGAATAGGGAATTTGACTTATCGATTGGCGTTGCCACCGAAACTTGCTCAGGTGCATGATGTTTTTCATATATCTATGTTGAGAAAGTATGAGCCCGATCCGGCACATGTGCTGAATTTCGACGAGGTTGAATTGGACAGCAGAGTGTCCTATGTTGAGGAGCCTGTGCGGATCGTGGATCGTAAAGAGCAAGTGTTGAGAAATAAAACTGTTCCCATAGTAAAGGTCTTATGGCGACACCATGGCATAGAAGAAGTTACCTGGGAAGGTGAGGAAATCATGAAGCGGCAGTATCCGCATTTGTTCGAGGAACCAGGTATGTGTTTAAATTTTGAGGATGAAATTTTATTAGAGGGGGAGAATTGTGATATCCCTGATTTTGGGCCTAGGAGCCGAGGGCTAGATTCGATGAGTGAGCGGGTAATTTGAGCTGAAGGTCGGTAATGGAACGGACAATATGATCGGAGCGAGTGTACTGAGAGTTGGTCATGGTTCAATCGAAAGATTGTCCATGAATTGGCCTAGGGATCGACAGTGGAATGACTCCTTGACTACGCAAAATGATTAGGGTAATATGATCGTGGAGTGACCCTTCGACCATAAGGGCCGTTAGTGGAACGATCATTGATAACTATGGATCAGTCCGGTAACGGCATGTATCGGTCATGGGTGATAACGCACGGCCATGCATCGATCCCGGATGACCATGAGTTAATTTCGGGGTACTGAATTCCACGAGGCTACATGACAACCGAGGGTCAACCATGGGTCGTTGACACTCGAATGTAGACCAATCGCGAATCGGCCACGAGTCATTGTGCCATACATGAGCCATTGTGCTTGTTTGGCCGCGGACCAATCCCTCGCTCGTGTAACCAGGCATGGTGCTCGGCACGGTCCTCGTGTGGCCGGCATGGTACTCGGCACCTTGCACGTGCAGCCGGCATGGTGCTCGGCACCTTGCACGTGCAGCCGGCATGGTGCTCGGCATGTCGCCCGTACAACCCGGCTCAATGCCAGTGCAGCCCGGCCATGTACCCGTGTGGCCCAGTCGCATGCCCGTATGGCCCGATAGTGTGCCAGGCCATGCGTCCAGTCAGACCCGACCATGCGCCCAGCAACCTGGTTTGCTTAGGCTTATTCCATTTTGCTTGGGCCTTGGTTTGGTTGTGTTAGATGATTTTTTAGGATGTTCTCGCACCGAACCTCAAGTTGAACGGCTCTACTAAGCATGGATAACCCTCGAAAATTTGGAGAATAGTATGATGCGGGATTATGATTGTAGTGTCGTATAGCCGGTTTCGTGTAAACCGATTGGCTCGAGAAGTTTTTGTGTGGAACCAGCAAGCTTGGAAGGCTCCCATGGTTCAGACTTGCTGAGGAAAAGAAGTCAAAAACTTGGTCAAAGGCTTCATTTAAGGCTATTTAATGCCATTTAAGGCCTTCATAATTGGACCCCCTTAGGTGTCCCCTCAATAATTTCTAACCAAGCTGAGCTGGTGTCATG